TAAAAAAAACCCCAATTTAAAACAATTTAACTCTAGAATCCCGTCTTTATATGGCTAGAGGTTGAGAGCCCACCCCCCAGCCCATTGGACCCACTTTTGAGCCCCCTCCCAGGGCAAAAGGTGAGGGTCCCGAGCCCTGTCCAGGGCCCTTCCTCGCCTCCGCCCTCTCACTGCCCCATCCCATAATAGTCACCCTAATAGTTTCCTCCTCTCCGCTGCTGACTGAGGATTTGTTCCTGGTTGAATGCTTTAATCTTCGGACAGAGGTGGGAAGGGGGTTTCTTGGAGTTTAAAAAAAAAAGGGTGGGCAGGAAGGCAGGGAGGCAAGGAGGGGGTTCCTGGATTGGTGTCCAAGCTGGCCCCAATCCTAGCCAGCCCTTTACGTTACACAGCCTGGGGAATGCCTTTCCCATCCGTTCGGCTCTGGGCCTGCCCTTTCCAGCGTCAAGTGGCCTTCGAGTTCCAGTCCTGCCGGCTTGTCTTCTCCGTGGGGTCTTGGGGGGCTGTCTCTCGGCCCCAAAAGGCCGCTGGGCCTGCCCTTTCCAGCGTCGAGTGGCCTTCGAGTTCCAGTCCCGCCAGCTTGTCTTCTCCGTGGCCTGTTGGGGGGCTGTCTCTCAGCCCCAAAAGTTAGCCTTGGCTGGTGGCCCGGAAGGCCCTACCGTTCCCCTCCCCGATCCGGCTTCACCTTCTCCTGCTCGGGAGCTGGCGGCCGCTGGGCCTTTCCTGCCCCGATGGCGGCCAAGTGGTTTAAGGAGTTCCCGGCCAACCTGAAAACGGCCTCGGAACGCGCCAAGCCGGGCGGCGGGGTCAACCTCGGCAAGCTGAGCGGCGCTTCCCGAAAACCCCCGGTGCCCTCGGACGCGGGGACGGCGTCCGTGCCCGGGAAGAACCGCAAAAACTCGGCCACGGACCTGGCCGGGCCACGGACCCTGGGGAAGGATGGAGGTGGTGGAGGCCGGCTGTCCCGGGACAATTTCCAAGGCCTCCTGCAAGCAGCCACAGGGAAAATGCGGAAAAATTCTCGGGTGGACGGCCCGCCGACGGAAGAGCCGGCCCGGGGGGTCCCCAAAAGCAACCCCAGTGGGGGGACCTACATCAACCGGCTCATCAAAGTGGATGCCCACGAGAAAAATGGGAAAACCTACCCAGGGACCCTCCCGAATCCGTCTGCAGCCCCAGAGCCAGAAAAAGCAGTCAAACAGGAGACGGTAAGGACCCCCCCCCAAAAAAAATAATAATCCTAACAACATTGCTCAGAGAGTCAGGCTGAAATTTCTCAAGAAATCCTCCTTCTAACATGGCTCAGTGGATGACTTTGGAAGGACGGGCCGGCTTTGCTTGTCTCCTCGCTCTGCTTCGGGTTATGTCGCCCAATTAACCTCCCCGCCACTCCGTGACCCATGCTCCTTTCATCCCTCTGGGCGCCTGTCCTGCCACCCGCTTCCCTCCGGCCCACGCCCGCACATGAAAAAAAGAGGAAGCTTGGTGGGGGGAAAAAAGCTAGCTGATCGGTCCGAAAGAGATAGGCGCCCGACGCTAATTCCACCCACCAGCCCCTTGATTTGGACATCAATGTGCTTAAGGCGAATGCTGAATTCGTTAAGATTATTAATAATCGGTATTAAGGCTCAGAGAGAGAGAGGGAGAGAAGTGGTCCAGAAACTTTTGAACTAAGGAAGTTTAACAAGAAAGGCCTACAGAGAGGAGGGGCAGAGAGTCAGATACAACCGTAGGCAAATTGTAATGGATTTATGGATTTATTTATTCATTTATTTTGCCATTAATGCCTCTGATCTCAAGGAGTCCCTCCTGGAAGGACATCTGTGCGTTTTCTGTGCAAAGACGCTTCTCCCATAGCTTTTTAAAATCTGCAGAGGATCACAAATATGCCTCTTAATTGTCTGGACGGCGTGTGGAATTCGTAAGACGCTTGCGCCATAAAGTGTATCATTCGTTGGTTTGTTTGTGATTAACAAAACAGCGATTCTAGCAGCATCGTAAAAGAGGGAGCCCCCTTATTTTTGTGGATCGTAGCCCCTGCTTTTTCAGAGACGGTCCCCAAAAATGTTTCGTAATAATAATAAAGTTAATCAGGCTTTAGAATGTCACAGACCTGTCGGTGGTTTTTTTGCTGTAACGGCCTAACACAGCTACCCCGCTGGAAATGAGCATAATAGCCACAATGATCATTTCGACTTCCCCTTTCCTCTTCATTGACAAGTATCCTGTTGATGCCTCCCCTCCAAAAAGAGAGCTTCTCGGAAATTGAGTGTACTGAGAGAGCGTTGTGTAAGCCGACAGATGTAACAGAGTTCCGAGCCTGATTCTTATTGTTGTCGCTGCTGTTTTGTTTATTGTGATGATGATAAATGCACCTCCGAGGGTCAAGCTCAAAAAATTTAGGAGTCGGTTCCTAGAAATTCACAGGGGAGGTGCCCTATTGGCAAAATGGCTGATTTTTTTGAATTTCAGGGGAGCAAATCGGCAGCTCTCTGCTGGTGCTTTAAAGAGGAGACTCCTCGTTGTTCCTCTGTGTGAGTCACTGGAATTCTGTGTCTTTTTTTCCAAACCTGTGGGGTGTAGAAAGGGCTTTTATAAGGAGATGGCATGATGCTTAATCTAGATTAGTGCCGTTGGAAGTTCTCTGGAGGTCTTCCCAAACCCTACCGAGATGGCAGGGGTTGAACCTGGCAGGTTTAAAAGTTAAGGTTCTAGTCCTCGTGGATTTGAATAAGGACTGATTTTAAATAGGAGCATGGAAACCTGTCTTGTGCCCCATTGGACCACTGGTCCATAAGTCTGGGGGTGGTTGGGTGCAGAGTGGTCGCAACACATCACCGGGCGCTCACCTTTCCGGCAGGAACCCTCTTCATCATTTGGCTTCCCTTCCAGGTGATTATTCTGGAAGATTACGCCGATCCATACGACGCCAAACAGACCAAAGGCCAGCGGGAGGCAGAGAGGCTGGGCGAAAACGACGGCTACATGGAGCCTTACGACGCTCAGCAGATGATCACCGGTGAGTTAAGCCTTGGGCCACCTTTTCTGGGCGGCGAGGTTGGGAGTAGCAAATGTCGGAGCAGGAGGTCTGTGGAGGAAGGTGTTTTTTGAGGGTTTGAACGTGCCACCATTGCAGGAAGCAGTGGAGAGGGGACAGATTTATTTTTCAGACTACAAACCCCAGAATCCCCCTGTTGTTGCAAACAGAGTGAAAGGATTCCTGTTCGGTACGAATTGTACAAGAATAAGGTTATTATATTATA